TAAGATATATTTGAACAGATCTGAATTTTAATGATAATTCTATTCAAACTAACCGTTACATTTTATCCTAAATGAATCGACAACAAATTTTTAGGTTTTTTGTTAGATCAGTGACAGTAGAAAAATTACTTTTATTCCAAAAGTTACATAAAATTCAAAACCAATATTAGCTACAATCGTTGAATGATTTTGATTGTTCATTTATTGTGTACTTTTGTATTCTGTAAAGGTCAAAAAGATCTGAAGACATAAAGACAATTAATGTAAATTTATTTAATCTACATTACATCAAAACATATTATTGGAATAAATCAAACCCTAATCAAATATCAAACTAAGTCTATAGTTAGACAATTTATAAATACTAATTAAATTAAATCTTCTCACACAGTTAGAACTCCTATCATTAACAAATAATTAGAAAATCTTTAATCATTATTGTCTTGTTTTACCGACAGAAAATCAACCAGTCGCCATGAATTTACCATTGATAAATGTAAGCATGCTGAGATCAAATGAATCTATTGAAATAATATAACGAGCGTAATGTCTTTATTTTGAAGGTTCTTTTATAGAAATACAAAAATATTTTCTTTAATAAAAACAAATATAGATTTAGATATTTAAATATTTTCCTTACAAACTACATGATATTTCCACAAAATATAAAAGTTTCCGAGAAAGGCCTAGTTTTGCACTTTACTGATAATATAATGCATAGATAAAGAAATTGTAAGATCCAATTATATGAACGATTATTTTCAAAGTCTAATGTCAATTGATGTCTGTAGCTGACAAAGATTGCCATGTAAGATAAAACAACAGATAACAAATTTACAATAAAAACACTCATCATATCAAGTTAAAACAATAACTCAAAGAACACAATCTTGTGTACAGTTTCCTCTTTATTAAATAATGATATGATATTAATAATAGCTTTATTCAGTGATAGACCCATAATACATTCATACAATATATAATAAATATGTATATAACTAGTGTAAAATAAATATATTGATAATTGATAACAAAGTTGTGAGGGGGACGAATAAACAACGATATTTAATTCTGATCAAGAGTTTCTTAATAGCAGAACTGCCTCTATATATTTGCCAACTGATAATAATAACGATCTATCTGTTGAGGTACATGTTTTGTGTAAAAGGTTTCCGTCATAGTAGTCTCAGATTTTCCCGAGAGAAAATGAATTCTTATATTATTTAAGTGTTTGCATGTGAACATGAAATGATAAGCAGTTTCGTTTCCACACTTACATAAAGGACATGTCGGGGGGGTCCTACAAATACCTCTCTTATAGAGGTTTTCTGACAGGGGTAGTAAATTTAAACGCAGACTGGTAATATTTCTTCTCAATTTAATACCTATATGACACGTCAAATAAAATTCCAGCCTTAATTCTAATTTTAAAAAATTGTACTCGGTGAAACTAGTGCGTGACATGACCTTAGCTGACCACTCCTGAATATGAATATTCTTACATTCCCAATGTTTTCAACATAAAACATTAAGGCGAAGCCAAGGGAAAATAACAGCATTCACTGATGAGTTACCTAAGTGGTCCGACTTATTTTGATTTTGATCTAAACTTTTTAATATCAAGTACACCTGTATTGGATAACGTTCAATTGGCATATTAACTAAGGTAAGCCAGTATTTCACACAGGATCTCTTTATTAAAACTTATATTTATCATAGTATGAATACATATTAACATATAACAATCTAAAACATGTACAGATATATTATACCATGGTGTTATTCAATATAAGGTTAATCATTATTTCAGCATATATCAGTAGAAATTGTTTTCCACTTTGTTTATTATCCATGGTTGCAAATAAGGAAGTCAAGGGTTTCGACGATTTGATTTTAACGGGGATGTCTGTAGACGATTGTGCTAATGAATGTTTAGGAGAGGTTATATTTACATGTCAATCATTTGAATATTGTTATGATACCGGAACATCCTGATGAAAGACCTGATCTAATACAAGCCAGTGATCACTGTGACCTGTATACAAGTAAGAGTTTTTTCAAATTTGAAATAATTATATGATATTATCTTACGAGAAGAAAGTAGGCATATACGTGTCCAAACTAAGTCGACAATTGTCAATAAGGTAGCAATTAGATGAGTCTGGTAGGTATCCCGCATAAAAATTGGAAACCCATGAAACATAAGCACCATTCGCCAGTCATCGCTTTCAAAATGCAGAATGAGCATCTCTGTTTTTTTTTTCAGGACAATACACGGCCAAATTTACAGAAACACCAGGAGTGACAGTGCTCTCAGCTTCGGATACCATCTATCAAAATATTTTTACTGATAATCAATGTGCTAAACTATGTGTCGATTATTCAGAATTTGATTGTAAATCATTTGATTATTGTCCCAATATAAATACATGTTTCCTTGGTAAAAAACATGTATTTGATGTACCAAAATCACAGATTAATAAAGATGTTAGATGCAATCATTATTCAAGTAAGTTATAGAATTTTTAACATGCCTACCAAAAGGAAATAATGTCGAGAGCTTTGTAAAGTCTGTACTGGAAATCGAGGTTTGGAGCCTTCTTGCATTTTCTGGCATTTATAGTATGGCAGATGCTTTTTACCAATCAATTAGTGTTACAAGATCTGGCCTTTGAGCCACAAAACATTTCTCATGCTCAGCTTAATCTTTACTAAATTCATAATGTCCCTCGCATCAAGAAAATGTAAAATTTGACGATTAAGGTCATAGTGCAAGAAACATTGTGCAATAAGGAATAGATTGGTATATTTTTTCTTTGACAGTTGTTTTAAATTTAAGTAAAATAGTTTTGTGATTTATGTCCATTTGTACAAGAAAAAGACAGTGGCGCAAAGTGCATATTCCGAAATTTTGAAGTTGTGCCTGTGGTTTATTTACAGGAAATTATGCCGATGACTTTAAAGTCAAAGCTAATAAACAGATATCATTGCGTGATAATAGAGTTATAGAAGGTATAAGTGCTGAACAATGTGCTAAATTGTGTGTTGAGGAAGAATCATTCTCCTGTGCAAGTTTTGATTATTGTGGTAATATGACTGAATGTAGATTAAGCGATGCTGCAATGTCAGATGTAGGCCAAGTGACGGTCGAAACTTCAGCATATTGTGCTGTGTATCAACGTAAGTACCAAATTTAGCTTTTTGAATAAAAATGTATTGGATATTTTGATTGATTTCTAATAACATGCAATGGAAATAAGAATCAAATTCACAAGAACACAACTTATGAATTTGGCATGTGATTGAATATAAAACTCATCATTACAATATTTGGACATGAGCTGCTCAAATAACATATTGTACTCTCAAATCACAATAAAATGCCTAATTTAATTTGTTCAATATATTTCAGGAATGTATTTCCCAGATGGATCAGTATACACAAATACTAAATCTTCGGGTTATTCTGCTGGTAAGTGTTACAAAATATTGAGAGATGTTATGAATCAGATAGCCACTCGCTAAATCTAATGAAATAATTTTTCATGTTTGTGGAGATCAGAAAATTACATTTGTTTGAAATATACATCAAAATCAGTGAACGTGTGTCTTATATAATTGTAGATCGATTCGAGGCTAGATATATCGTAACATAAATAAATTGAGGCTGTTCATGACAGCATATTGCATGATTATAATTTTATATTGCAGGTGCTATGGGCGGACTTGGATTTGCTATGTTAGTAGTTGGTGCTGTACTTGCAATTGCAATCTATTTCGGAATCGGGAAAATGCGAGGAAAGAGTTTCGATTTTATGACCATTTCATTTAAAAATATGGAAAACAGTGATTAGTTTGTTTGTATTGTCGTGATAATGAATCTTTTACTTTTGTAAATAAAATGTTTGAATAGAATATGTGAAAAAAGATAAATTTCATATTGCCAGAAAAAAAAGAGTGAAAAACTTATTGACAGTGGTCCACGGTCCGACGATTCCTTCCCTTTACTCACAATAATTCCCAATAATTCCCAATAATTATGACGGATCATAAACATGAGATCTTTGAGATCTCAAAGAAGGCTTTCACTTTGGAAACTGGGACTATGTTTAAATATTTTTGAAAGAAACAATTTTAACAAATCATAACTATATAAATAACAACAAGACATAAAATGTCAGATAACAAACAAGAAAAGCGGACATTCATGGCTTCTGTACAGTCAATTCTAAAACAATTCTGATTCAATCATAAGTAAATTCACTTTTTATATTATTATTAACAAATTATAACACGGAATGAATAAAAAAAATAACAAAAAATATCACAGATCACATAAAGGGTAACAAGAAATATTAAAGATTGAATAAATAATAACAAAAAATATCACAGATTGAATAAATGGTAACACCAAATATCACAGATTGAATAAATGGTAACAAGAAATATTACAGGTTGAATAAATGGTAACAAGAATTATCACAGATTGAATAAATGGTAACACCAAATATCACAGATTGCATAAATGGTAACACCAAATATCACAGATTGAATAAATGGTAACAAGAATTATCACAGATTTAATAAATGGAAACAAGAAATAACACAGATTGAATAGATAATAACAATACATATAACAGATTGAAAAAATAGTAACAAGAAATATCACATATTGAATAAATAGTAACAAGAAATAACACAGATTGAATAAATAGTAACAAAGAATATCGCAGAGTGAAGAAATAAGAACAAATTATATCACAGATGGAAAAAATGGTAATAAATTATATCACAGATGGAATAAATAATAACAGAAAATATCACAGATGGAATAATAGTCACAGAAAATATCA